CAGTTGCTCAGAGGAATCTGGGGTTGAGAACCTTCCCCTCCTAAATAAAACATTGTGTCAGTACCATAGCGGCCAGGCTATCTTTTCCTACCTTGCCACAAAGTATAGCTAATCCTAAAGAGCAGTTTTTGGAAAAGAGGGAGTGTGTGATAGGGAGCCTAAATGGGAAAGGCTAACTGCAGGCCTAGATGTTTCTTCTGCTCTTTCCTGCTAAAAAGACAAGTTACTGGGAGGAAAGGGGATTGCAAAGAGATATGACCTGGTCTCACCCTCCAAAACCAAGAATATGTTGAGGATAGGAACCACTTGACTGGGACAAGGCACCTACCTGCTTTCTCACCCTTTCCCACCCCTGTTGGAAGTCTTGTTTTGGAACAAAGTGAAGCCTAAGGTACTCTAGGCAATGGGATCTACTCACCTCAAGCCCATGCCCAGATGCTTTATCAGGTTGCTTAGGGAGATGTTGTTGGCATTAAAGGGTTTCCTCTTCTCTGCAAACTCATGAGCCAGGCAGATGCGCCAGCCAAAGGGAGGCACCTGGTGGCCCTTAGCTTTACCCTCGTAGGAAGCCATCAGTTGCTCAGAGTCCTCTGGACTGCTGTAGCCCGGCTCATTTTGGGGTCGATCGTCCTCAGGGTTCTCGCAGTCAGTAACCTGCACAACCTCACTGCCTCCAGTATCTTCAGGGCAATAAACCTGTGGGTCCCCTTTGGCACAGCTGGTTTGCTCAGAGGATGGGACTCCGGTTCCCATGTTCCCTGGATCCTGGGTCCCCACGACCTCGATGGTCCCGGGTCCCGAGCCTTCTGGTACAAAGTATTTCGCCAGCCACGTCCAGATGTGGGCGCCGGTTGTTGTTAAGTGCCGTCCGGTAGGGCCGTGCGCTGGGGAAAGCTGAGGTGAGCAGGTGTCTTGTAGAACCTGGGAGCTCTTGCTGCAGCGGCGGCGGAGACGACAGCAATGAAGATGCCTCAAGCTCTCCCTCGGTAGTCTCTCTAGGTCCTGGGCGGGAAGGGTCAGGCCTCGTCGTCATTGGGCCGTGATGATTAGCTTGCCCGGCCAAACGGCGACTACTGGGCCGGCGGAGAGGGGAGGAGCCCGGGGAGCCAGCCCGCAAGGCACCGCCCCCGGGGCCGGCCCGGGAGCTCGCGGCAGCCTCAGCCGCGTCCCCCGGCCGCGGCACCAGGACCCCCAGGGTTGGGCGCCGGGGCCCACCGGCCGGTATCCGGGGCAGCGCCCGCGCCCAGGTGCCAGGCTGTGGGAAGATGACCCAAGGCGGTGGGGCCCAAGCCCCTTCCGGTCGGGCCAGCCCGGCGTTTCCGGCCGGAAGGGGCTCCGTTGGGGGTGGAGGCCGAAGGGAAGTCCCTCCTCTGCTGCACTGCCTCTGCGGCGGACCCCGCCAGGCACTTGGTCGGGTCCTGGTGTCGGGGAGCGGGCAGGCGAGGGCTTTGGTGTGCCTAGACCCCCAGTGTGGACGGTGCGAGGTGCTCGGGCTGGGGGCGCGAGGTGACGGGTGTCCGTGGCCTGGGGCTGGAATGCGGAGCCTTAAGGAAAGGGGGCGCGGAGGCCGGGTTGGGGATTCGGGGGGGTAGGGGGACTAACCCAGCGCTGAGAGGGGCAAGTGTCTGGGGCTCGGAGCGACGGCCTACCCCTGGGTAGTACTGAGTCAGCTGTCTCCTGCACCTCCCATCCACCTCCCTGCCGCCAGATCCAGCAGCTTCCCTCTGACACTGTGGTGCTGACCCCCAGGCTTCACTCAGACACCCTCCCTGTCATGGTACTGACCTCTGACCTCCCTTGTTTCCTTTTAGATCCGATTCCAGAGCTGCCATGATTGAAGTGGTAGCAGAGCTGAGCCGAGGTCCTGTGTTTCTAGCAGGGGAGGCGCTGGAGTGTGTGGTGACAGTCACCAACCCCCTGCCCCCCACGGCCACTTCTGCATCTAGGTGAGGATGCTGGTACTGAAGAAGGTGGTCTTTTTGAGAGGAAGCCTGGTGTCTGTAGTGCTAAGCCAGAGTTCAGGTTATCCTGTAGCTGGATCATCACCTCCCTGCTCATTATGCTCTCATATTAGGAAAGGGCTGTTTAACAGAAGATGTGATGACATAACCCTTTACTCTCCTTTCCTCTTCCTCCCTCCTCCCCCATTCTCCTTTTTACCCATAGTATACTTCTCTTTAACAGTTTCTCTTTGGTGTTCTGCATTCCCTGATCCCTAGGACAGCCACCTCAACCATGTTGGCCCCTTAGTGTGGTTGGGTGTTTGGGAGAGTATTGGTGAGGTCAGGAACTCCCTTTTGATGCCTCCTTTTCCTTCCATAGTGAGGCTCTGGCCTGGGCCAGTGCCCAAATCCACTGCCAGTTTCATGCCAGTGAGAGTCGAGTCGCACTGCCTCCCCCTGACTCCAGTCAGCCAGATGTTCAGCCTGAAAGCCAGACTGTCTTTCTACCACACCGAGGTTAGAGACCGAGCATTTGCCTTTGGTGGGAAATGGAGTAATTGTCACTGAAGGGTGAAGTTAAATTGTTCTGGTGGGTCATTATAGTCTCTGTGACATTGAGACTATGGAGGAATGTAATTGCTGCTTTGGGGGTGTAAGACTATTGCTATCTCACAGCAAGAAAAAAGGGTTAGCTTACTGCCCCCACTTGCTGTGCGAGCTTTAATGTGCCATTAAACTGCAGTCTTTATCTTTTTTAGGTGAGAGGGGTCAGTGTATCCTTTCCACGCCACCAAAAATCCTATTCTGTGACCTGAGGCTAGATCCTGGAGAGTCCAAATCATGTGAGTGACTGTCTCCCACCCTTGGAATGCCTTCTAAGGCTCCTGGTGGGAGGACCTCTCTGGCTGCCTCTGGCTGCCCTGACTACTACTTCCCAACCAGACTCCTACAGCGAAGTGCTGCCCATAGAAGGACCACCCTCCTTTCGGGGTCAGTCAGTCAAGTATGTCTACAAACTGACCATTGGCTGCCAGCGTGTCAACTCACCCATCACTTTACTCAGGGTCCCTCTGAGAGTTCTTGTGCTGACTGGTAAGTAAGGGTTCCTGGAGGGAAGAGCTGGGGAAAAGCCTCACCAAAGCAGAAATGATCTTTAGAGAGCTTGTGAGAGGGGCTGGAGGGAAGCTTTCCGGTCTTAGTGAAGGTACAAGGGAGTGGGAGGGGGTGTTCTCGAGAATAGATTGACATGTGTACCTCAGCTGTGGCTCCCCTTGCCTTCAGCCTTCTCAGGTTGGAGTCTAAAGCCCTAACCTTTACCCTGATCTCTGTTCCCTCCCAGCATTACTTCTCCATTTATTCTCTCTCTAGGCCTTCAAGATGTCCGGTTTCCCCAGGATGAGGCTGTAGCCCCATCCAGTCCATTCTTGGAGGAGGATGAAGGTGGGAAAAAGGATTCATGGCTGGCTGAGCTGGCTGGGGAACGTCTCATGGCTGCCACATCCTGCCGAAGCCTCCGTGAGAATTTCCCCGCCCCATCCTCCCCTTTAGTATTCCTGGCTCAGAGGCCGGTTTTCCTAACTGCCACATACTTCTCAGGATCCACTGATATTTCACCCCACATTATAAAGAAAAGCCCTATCTTTTGGTTTCTGGCTCCCAGCCCTAGACATTCCCCATTGTGGACTCCAGGCTTACAGTGTCCCATTTTCTCCAGATCTGTACAATATCAGTGATGGTCGAGGAAAAGTTGGGACATTTGGCATCTTCAAATCTGTATACAGACTCGGCGAGGACGTGGTGGGGACCTTAAACTTAGGGGAAGGAACTGTAGCTTGTTTGCAGGTGAGAAGGGAGAGGGGCTTTTCGGGCACTGGGCTAGGGTAGAAGGAGAAGGGCCTGCATAAAGAGGCGTGGTATATAGAAGTGGATAGTGGGGTTACTCAGGGTCTCTTTAGTAAAACAGGTTCAGGTTGGGCTGCTCTCTTATCTAGAGTCAGCACTCCCCATACCTGCTAGCATGCACTTTTCTTGCTCCCAGTTTTCAGTAAGCTTGCAGACCGAGGAGTGTGTACAACCTGAGTACCAGCGACGCCGAGGGGCAGGGGGTGCCCCTTCTGTGTCCCATGTGACTCATGCCCGGCACCAGGAGTCTTGCCTACATACAACCAGAACCAGCTTCTCCCTCCCCATCCCTCTCAGCTCCACCCCAGGCTTCTGCACAGCCATTGGTGAGACCTTGAGCATTACTGGGGTGGGGGGAATAAAAGACTGTACTTAGGTAGAGTGTAATGGCTCCTGATTCCTAACACACTCCCAGACATACCCACTTTCAGCCTCTGACCTTAAACACCTTCTCAGATCTTCAGCCTGTTTCGTAGACACACTGACCCCTAAATTCTTAACAGCTTTGCTGATCTCTTTTCCTACCCCTACCCACCGGGACCTTGTGATTCACTGACCTCTGATTTCCCAGCACCTTTACTTCAGGCTACCACTGTCTCACACTTGTGTTATTGGTTCTTGATACTGCTATCCTTATTGTCACAGTCCTGGCTAACACACTAGATTTCAGGGAAACCCTTGATCCTCGCTCCTTGCCCTGTGACTTCTCCCCCTCTTTCTGAATACAGGATTTTGCTCGTTTGCTAACCATACCCTGTCATTGGCTTTTACTCCTGGCTTCTAATGCCTGTGCCTTTTTTTTTTTTTTTACAGTGTCCCTGAAGTGGCGATTGCATTTTGAATTTGTAACATCCCGAGAACCAGGTTTGGTGCTCCTACCTCCCATGGAACAGCCTGAGCCTGTCACCTGGACAGGGCCTGAACAAGTGCCCGTAGACACTTTCAGCTGGGACCTCCCCATTAAGGTGCTGCCTACAAGCCCGACTCTGGCCTCATATGCAGCCCCAGGCCCCAGCACTAGCACCATAACCATCTGAAACTGGTCCACCATGGCACTGCTTTCTTCAGGATACTGAGAACTCGGCACCTGGACTCTAGTATGGCCTATTTTTTTCACCTGGGGTCCAATGGCACGGACAATGATAGGCAAGCTTTTAGCATTAATTTATTTATTCAGAATAAATTGGCAGCTGCTAGTGGTTTCCCTGGAAGTGGCAGCAGCAGTGGGCAGTCAGCAGAAGGGTGATCAGTTGAGTTTAGCTGGAGTGGGGAGCAGGAGCTCCAGGAACAGGGGTGTTAGCTGAGCCCCACTCTGGGTCAGGCCCTCCCCCCTTGCAGGGCAGCCGAGGGTCAGATTTTTGCACCAAGGAGAATTGGCAGGTTCCTGCCTTCTGTCGTACCTCACACTCAGCAGGGAAGTCAATAGGATGCTGGGACCTGGGGAACCAAAGAATGGAGAAGGAGTCAGCACAGTGGAAGGCCACCGTTATCCCCCTTCCGTACAGTCCCTCTTTCCTAGCACTCCTCCCATATCTTCCCTCAGTACCTCCTTAGTCTCCCTAAGTTCTCACCTACCTACCTATGTAGATTTTTTCATTTCATAGCCGGAATATTTTCCTTCTAGATCCACCCCTACTTCCCTCACTTTGTAGCCTGAAGCCATCTCTCTCTCTCACACTCTTGTTGGTACCTTCAGGTTTGGCAAGACTCATACTGCTATTCTGTTCTCATATGACAGCAATCTAGTCATGCCCTGGCCATCTCTCAGTCACTCAAGTCAGTGGCATTCTCTGGCCATCTTTGGTCACTCACGTGTCACAGCAGCCCACACCGACAGGATGCAGACAGGTACAATGGAAACAGTCCTTGCGGAGCCAAGACTCACCCAGGGTAAAATATTTCCCTTCATAGTGGCAGGGAGCTAGGGAAGAACAGGAAATTTTAGTGTGTAGGGGAGTGGTGGTGGCAGACGGAATCACTCTGCAATAGGAGAGAGTAAATGGACACTTCCCCCATATTTAGTCTCTCCTGCTTCTGAGCCGGAGGGAGTCTGGGTAATCCGACATAGGATCATCTCTAAGTCCCCCTCCTCCCAGTGCCCTCTGTTCTTTGTCCTTTCCTAACGCCTCACCCAGCTTTACCTCACCCAGCTTTACCTTGAGCTTGGAAGTAGCACTTGCTGTGGACTCCTTGGTGCTGGAGGAGCAGAGATATCACCAAGCAGATGATCCCCCAGCCTCCCAAGATCCCCTTAGCCTGTCCAGCCCAGAGCATCCTTAGGGCCATTCCTGCAGCACAGCCCTTGGGAATTCTTCTTCACTTCAGGCGACTCTCGTCTCCTTGGCTTCTCTTTGTTTCTCTCCGTGAGTCTTAGTTTCTGTCTTTTTCCCTGGGCTCCTGTCTCACACCATCTCCTTGCCCTCTGCTCTCACAGGCTTGGAGATGTTTATAAAGTGAGGACCCTGGCCCCCTGCTGAGTAGAGCTGGAAAAGCTGTAACTCTGTTTCCTGAGGTGAGGGCATGAAAACAAGAGGTCTAGCTTTAACAAGCTGTGAGAGCTGATTCATGCCCCCACATAGCTAGGGGGAGGGAGGTGGCCATGGAAGGGGCACGGACTGGGCACTTCCCCAGCAAGCAGGTGGGAGGGGTGAGGGTCTGCAGGTGGTCCTAAGATCTCTTCCTGACCTGGAGAGAAGGAAGCATTCCACTGTCTCCCCCACCCCCCAACACCACCACACACACACACATGCACATGTGTGCACACACACACATTCTCTCTCCAGGGGTGGATATGCTGGGATCCCTGCCTGGACCGGAGGGAGGCATTTCCTGGGGATGGCTAATCCTGTTCCCCAGCCAAACCAAGGAGCTGCAGTAGGGTGCGACAGCCAGAGGCTCCAGGCGAGTGCACAGGCACCCGGAATGGAGAATGTTTCTCTCAGACCCTAGGGCAAGGTCTCTCTGAAGTATCCTAGAGATATGGCTGCCTCTCAGAGTTGGGAGAGGGGGAGTGAAGTGTCTCTTCTCCACAGGCATCCCAGAGATGTATTCTCCATTGTTCATCACCATCAAACATTACAGCAGATGCAGAATCTCCCCATATCTGAGGATGGTTCTTTCAAAGAGGAACATCTCTAATGTCCTAGTGGTATGAGTCACTCTAGTTTCTGTACATTATAGATAGAGGATTTAGGAATTTATTCTCAACATCCTCCTTTAGGTTTTCTGCAGGTTCTGCAGAACTCCAAGAGGGATGATTAAGAGCATAGGTTGTAGAGTCAGACCACTTGGATTCAATCCTGACTCCACTTAAGAGCTATGTGACTCTGGGCAAGCTACTTCACCTCTCTAAACCTGTTTCTTTATAAATTAGGATAGTAATACTAACTCATAGAGTCGTTAAGGATTAAATGAGATAATGCACTTAATGCTCTTAGCACTCTCCCTGGCACATAGCTGTCAGAAAACATGAGCTACTGTGGTTGGTGCTAGACTTCAGAGACGAAATGGGTAGACATTCTTTTAATGACATCTCTGTGCACAGCTGAAGGTTTCAGTTGTGGGCTGCTATTTCCTCGCATAGACTTCTATCCCTTTCACACTCATTCTCCATGTCATCCCTACCACCTCCTTCAAAAAATACCTCAGGGAGCATTTTGCTTTTGGTCCTTGTGTCCTTGAAATTCTAAATGTCTGCTGTTGAGAAACTTGCTGATAAAACTACTTTCCCTAAGACAGTACCCTACCCTCACATCTATCCTGAGAAGAGGTATCATTTTCTTATCTTCTTTCAGCTTGCTTTAGGACTCCTGCTTTTTCTCATGGATTCTGATCCATTTCTCCCCATCCTCACTCATGCAAACTTACAAGTTCTCCTTTCTGACCACTCTAATGCTGATCATCTCTTTGGTACTAATGGCCCCTGGCCAAACTGGATTTCTTTCCCTTTTCTACACTCCAGAGATCCCTGTTTCAAGTATTCCCCACCTACTCACAGGGCCTATCACTTTGGCATTGATTTTATTTTTCCTTCTAAGTCTCCAGTCCCATTTACTCCAGGATACCCACTCGTCACCCAGTGGTTCAGATACAACTTCTCACTGACTTTTGTAGAGGGCTACCCAGCTTCTCACCTCTTTGCTATTAAGGGACAACTCATCGGTCCACCTCAAACTCCCTGTTCTCTTCCAAGAAGACGGCTTAAGTGGATAGAGACACAGACTGTACCATACATTCACCCGAGTCAGGTCTGATACCCTTTCCATTTCAGAGGAATGCCAGGAGATAGAGGAAAACTCACACGTGAAGTAGGATGCCCTGGTGTAGGCTGGTGTGTGGGAGGCATGGCCTTGGACTGCTCTCTTGGCAGGAGCATGTGGATTAGAAGGCCTGTGTAGCACAAGGGCCCAGATGTCTTGTCAGTGGTTAGTAGCTCTTCCACTGCCTTTCTGGGGGGAACACTAGCTGGCACCCTGGAAGTCTGGACCACAGACTACCTTTAGCTCCTGCAACCTGGAACCAACCCAATGCATGGGGAGGGGGAGATGGCAGACATGCAGGTGGGGAGCTAGAGAGTATGAAGGTGCTGGTGGTGATGCTGGAAGGCAAAGGTGGCTTAGTGGGGATTGGTGTGAGGACAGGAGGAGAGCTGTTTGTAATGAAGTTGAGGTAGCCATATATGGGCATGAGTAGGGGGCTTCTGGAAAGAAAGGTTGGGGCTGAGCCAGGATCCCTCTCCCAGAAGTTAGCAGGGAGGAGGTGTTATTTCAATCCACTTGCATGCCTGTTGATGTGGGAACGCTCCTGTGTGTGTCTGTGTAGCTTCTTGGGACCGGAGGCCACGCTTCTGGTTGGTGTATGTATATGCGTGCGTGCATGCATCCGTGTAGGTGCCAGTGG